ATAACAGAATAAAGTGAACACGGTCGGTTCTTTGACCTTTGACCTTTGTTGCTTATTTGGCTTTACTCGGCAGCGGAGGAACGGATAATAATGCTCGTAGCCTAGCGACGGGGGAAGGGGAGTTGGCCGCGGCCCGCGGGTGGTGCAGTGCAGTGCAGCTAGGTACTACCGTACTAGCCTGCATGCCCCACGAGCGCGCGAGTCGTTGCGGGGCTACTGGCACGATCGCCGGCCGCCCGGCCGCGTCGTACGTGCCGGGGTCGTCTTGAGCCACCAAGTGGCACAGTGCAAAGCGCCCCTCTGTCGGTCGCCCCTGCCCCATGGCTCCATGAGAAGAGAAAAAAGGGGCCTTCCTTTTTGCGTCGTGCGCCGCGTTGCCCGATCGACCGTCCGTCCGTGGACTGCCTGCTTTGAGGTTAGCGGCCAGCATTTGCCGTGATCATCGTCTCTTCGTCGTGCGGACGACAGGACGTACGTACAGGGCCTCTTTTGACCATTTGTATCTGCATGCATCTGATCGGTGGTAGTGGTAGTGGTACTGGATCCACAAACACATGACACACCGTTGTTATATAGTACGTATTACGTTAATGCCAACCAGCAATGCTCGGCCGGTGTCAATTGTATGCCGCCGGCCCGCCCGGACGGCAAGGCATTTTTTTTTTGGTTGTTGTTGACAACAGGCAAGGCAAGCCTCAAGGGCGTACGTACACGTACGACGCACGGCTACCGTGCACAACCGTGGTATTTCTCAGGTGCACAGCATATGTCGTCGATCGAATTCGCAATATGTTTGGCGTGCAGCTTTTAAGCTAGGCTCACCCCTGTTTCGGACCATGAGATGTACTAAAGTTCGGCCGCACGTTCAGGAGACACAACACAACAGGCATAGTAATTTGAAGGAATGTTTAGGCAGGTAGCCAAGTAGCCTAGCACTGTACTGTACGTGCACAGGAGGGCGCGGCGCGTAACGTAACCTGTCACGCGCGCCCGGCTTGCGTGCCCGGTGCCCGGGCTTTGAACAGCATCTGGTCAAAGGCGCCGTCGGGATGGCTGATGGATCGGATCTCTTCCCACCTGGACTCATCAGCCAGAGGCTCACGCCTTGTTTAGATTGTAAATTTTTATAACCTGGACATTGTAGCACGTTTTGTTTGTATTTGATAAACTTTGTCCGATCATGGACTAACTAGGCTCAAAAGATCTATCTCGTGATTTACAACCAAACTATATAATTAGTTATTTTTTTTACCTACATTTAATGCTCCATATATATGTCTAAAAATTGATGTGATGAAGATAGAGTGAAAAAACTTGGAATTTGAAGATGATCTAAACAAGGCCTCGGAGCAGTGACACCACACACACCTCCTGAGCCCTGATCCACACAGCTTTCAGCTTTGAATTGATGAGCCTACGATACGCCTAGTACACTCCTACTGTAGTAGTAGTAAAAATGCATGCCCCAGTGCTCCTGGTACGGTGGCCAAGTTCCAACGTGCCCAAACTCCCACGCCCACCTGGGCAGGCCAGGCCAGGCCAGAGGCCAAGGCCACACTGTACCAGGGCCATGTTTAGATTGCAACTTTTTTCAACCGGATGAATAGTACTACTTTCGTCTTATTTGATAAATATTGTCTAATCATGGACCAACTAGGCTCAAAAGATTCATCTCGTGATTTTCAACTAAACTGTGTAATTAGTTTTTTTTACCTACATTTAATACTCCATACAAGCGACTAAAAATTGATGTGATGGAGAGAGAGTGAAAAAACTTGGAATTTTAAGGGTATCTAAACAAGGCCTGATACTGCTTCCTCCCAATTACCTGGGCCTCCACTTCTACTCCACTCTCCTTCCAACATCTGCACCGCATCCACACCGGTTCTTTTTACACACCAACTTTTACCACACATGCATGCATGCTTGCTTGCTTTACTAGTCTACTATGCTCTTCAAGTCCTCATCATACAAACCTGATCTCGTTTAGTAGTTTTTTCAAACTTACTTTTAGCTAGGGGAATCCTTCTAGTTATTTTTTTCTCTCGAACGTGCATCGCACGGGATTCATTAAGCGGGAGGAGATTGTTCAAACTCAAATTACAAATATAAGCAGCAGTAATCCTGATATTACTGAGGCTCAACAGCCCTACGGCAGCACGTGGTCGTGATTTACATTTGCACGAAAATGCGACAAGGGGCTAGCATCCTACAGCAACGCAAGCATCGACATCAGGTGTTTGAAGCCCGCTAAACACCAGTCATTGGCCTCCTCCAGAATCTTGCGAGCTAAGAAGGCCTCTGGTGAAGCGGCAGTGCCGTTAAAAGTCCTGGCGTTCCTCTCTTTCCAAAGAGTCCAGCCGACGAGGAAGAAGAGGGAGTCGAAACCCTTCCGCACATGCTTATCAAACCGCTTCCTGCTGCGCAGCCACAACGGAAGCACCTCCTCCTCCTGAACGGTGATGACATCGGCGAGGTGGAGCCTTTTAGTTAAACTAAACTAGAGTACTCTTACTCGGTAAACTAACACTCCAACTGACATGCACCGCTGGGAGAGAAGGGGACAGGGTTCTTGTTCATTACAAAAGCATGCGGGTGCTAGTACAAACAGGGAAGCTATAGCCACAGTACGGGCCGGTACAGTTCAACCCTCCATTATATACGGGTAACCGGCGAGTAGGAGCATACAGTATGCTAAGGGCCGGAGAATTATATTTGACCTTCTCAAAAGAATAGTATTTGAGTCCTTTCCAGTCACCAGAGGATCTTGTGTGTATCTAATGCCGTGCATTATTCTAGTGCGTGCGTGCTGCTGTTGAGGTACGGTAGGGCTTAACTAGTTTTTAGTGTATGTCATGTCAGTAAGCAGCGAGTAATAATAATAATATAATGCTGCATGTCCATGGCAAGAGACAGGGCGATGTGCCGGTCCGAAGGAGAGCCGCGAGATCAGGTGGTACATGGCATGTTTGCTGTATGAGCGGCATTGACTCGGTTGGGACTCGGGAGCTTTGCCTTGGGAACGAAATTTGTTCAAACTAACGTACACTCCCTTCACATTCTTTTTTGTTAGCCCGCGCATCGTGCGCACGTACGATACCACCACAACAACAATGTCTGTCGTTATTGCAGTTCCTACATACTGTATCACCATTTTTTAAAAAAATCATCCTTAAGGGTGCTACTCCCTCCTTTCGTTTTTAGTGACAAAAAAATTGACTTTAAACAATCACGTTCCGATCAATTTAGTCCAGTGTCATAGTATAAACTATGGTTGTTGGATTCGTATTTAAATGCATTTTTCTTGCTATGATATTGTTTTTATAGATTACTATAGTAAGAAATCTACGGGCAAAGATCGATTTTGATCCGTGAAACTATTGTCTACTAAAAACAAGGATACAAATGTAATTCTAGAACAGAACCAAGTTAAAGTGTTTTAATTTAACTAACTATATATAGAAAATATTAACATTTATGATATCAAATAAGTATGATTAGATTTGTCATACGATATATTTTCATAGTATACTTATTTGACGTCATAAACATTAATGTTTTTACCTATATATTTGGTTAAATTTTAGGCGCTTTAACCAAGAAAAAATCTAAAATTGTATTTTTTTTACAGAGGTAGCACTACTAGGAAGTAAAGTAAACTAGGTGGATGGTTTATGTAACTCATCCGAGTAACAAACAAAAATAGTTGTGCTAAGTAATCTGCATGGTTGGCGAAAGGCCTCTCGCTGAGACGGTTAGAGCGTTGTCCGTGGTTCGATTTCCCGTGGGAGCGAATTTTAGGTTGAGGGTAAAAAAAATCACCCGTCTATCACATGGCCAAAGCATAGGTCAAAAGGCTCGGTCTGATTCTCATAGGGCAACGGTGCCCCTTATTAGGGTGAGACTGGGGTTCGAAGGTTTTTCTCGACCTGTATGAGAAGGTCTTTTGTATCGTAACAATAGCCGGGGTGAGGTCTTAACCCCTGCCGGTCATTTTTTTTTAATTTGCATGGTTGGAGCAGGTTAACTAGTTCCGCAAAACTTGGCTTTACTTTTGGCTGAGAAATGAACTGTACCTAGTTTCGTTCAATTATTTCATGGCAGTATTGTTCTAGCACCTCTGATGATTGTCAATATGTAGGACCAGAAATGGTTTGCAAATTTCACTAGCTAGCTGCAATCTCTGGCTATATATCAGAGTTAACTAAAAAAATGTTCCATCTGAGCTTACATCAGAGAACGTAGTCATGTAGAGTTGAAGTCAACAGTACCTTCCTCAAGATTGCCGTTGGTTTTATTATTCCTATAAAGAGAGTATCCATCCAAAAGTCAAAAACTTGCAGTCCACCTACTACTTCTGAATCAGTTACGGTAACATATCTGAATCCAACCATACTTGCAAGCATCAGGCCTTCTGCTAAGATTCAGAAATCAGAAAACCCAGGGGAGTTTGGATTTCTGAGCAGTGGTCACAAGCATGTCAGAAACCTGCAAAGACTCAGCTCTTGCAGGCGAGTTTGTAACAGTAATCAGGGGCAGCATACCTACTGCGTGCTCCATTGTAGGAGTAGTTTTATAACTGCGTCACGACAAGCAAAGTGAGATATATAAATTAAACTAGCACCAAGTTCTAATTTGGAGGGAACATCCTTCCTTAAAAAGTGATAGCCCAACCAAAACTCAAGATACAACCACGGTACATCGCTGGATTAAAGAATTGCCTTCGATCCAGCCTTCCCAATTGTTTTTTAAGCTGCCCTTAGTTGGGGAGAGTTTGACATGTCAGTGCTCCATCACTGCAGTGGGCAAGGCCGGGGGAGACCAGTGCCGGTGTATATATATACAGGCGCCTGAGGTCACTTGGCCTCAGCCTAGCCGCTTGCTCCCATTCCATCCTACTACTCGATCTAGCTACTTCACATTCAGCAGCAGGACAAACCACCGCATCTGGTTCTTCGATCGATTTGTTTTTGGATCAGCACAGCACAGCACAGGAGGAGATGAAGATGAGGACTCCTGCTATCGCCTTTGCTGCTCTTCTGATGCTGCTGCTTCTGGCTACAAGAGCACATGGTATGCTTCATGCATGGCCATCTCCTCCATTAGTGCTCCCTTGTGAGGTGTATCCGTCCTGGACTGATATGACCATGCATATTCCTCTCTATTTCTCTAAGCAGGAATCAGGCTGGACAGGCAGTTGCATGAAGCAATCAACAGCAAGGTCAGTTCAGTATACAAATACATATACCATACACGAGCTACTGTGAAAAGAAGCACTTCTTCCGATCCTACAGTATGAAATTAGACTAGATTTGCAGTTTTGCTTATTTTGCTGTCTTCTCTCCGTGACAACCAGAAGATGGCCGACCCCAAGACCGGCGATGCCGAAGCATCCATTGCTGGCGACCCGGTGAAGAAGCACTGCACTCCCGATGGGCGTTGCTCAGGTACAACGAAGCAGATGACCCCTACTCCTCCTGTTGTTGCCAGGGATAGCGAAGTGATGATCAGTGCGCATGCGGCGCCGAGGTTCCATGAGGATTACTATGGGCCAAGTGGCCATGAGCCTAATCACCACTGATCAAGCTGTTCGGGCAAACCATTTCTACCTCTACCCTTTTCTTAGCCTAGCTACCCGTAGTCGTTCTTCTCTCTCCATGCTTCTTCACCATCTTGGCCTGGAGAATGTAAAGGGAGAAGCTAGCTAGCTAGTTGTAGCATTGTTCTGTTCCGCACCAGGTCAATATCTCTGTTTTTCTTAATGGAAAGGTCAATATTTCTGTTATGTATGAGTACTTGTAATCTAGTTGATTTAAGCACATTTTAGCTCTGCACACAGCTTTGGTCTTTCCTGCTCGAACTTTTCTTCATATATATTCTCTCTGTGGATGCTTGCATTTATTCACGTGCGAGACCAACCCACGGTTCCACTCTCTGGAGAGCACGTAACGGTACTAGCAAGAAATAGGAAATTCAGCATGTCAATCGGCGGCTACGGCTATGGCTAGGCATTAGTACAGTAACATTTTACACACAGCCCTTTGGTCCCGTGCAGTAGTCAATTGCATCAAGTTGGGGCATAGAATATACGCTAGGCAAGCCTTTGGCATCTTTTTTACCTTCCGCACCAGTACAACAACTTTTTAATGTAACAGGTGGTTTATTTGTAACCTTTGATGTTGCAGGAAAGGTAAAAAAGGCAGTGGCGCACGCTGAAGCAGCAGCGGAAGAGAAGCAGCAGGTCAGTGTGCGTTTTCAGGCTAGCTAACTTTCAGCCACCATCTGAACATTCTCACAGTGTCATGCCATGCATGCACACATACATGTTCTGCTTGTCATGCATGGCACTCCCACTCATGTTTTATACCCACTTCTTGGATCTCGATCTACTTATGTACGTACAGAGCAATTCGACGGGAAATGATCACCACACGGCGGTGGACATCAAGGCCGCCACGCAGCAAGGGCGCCGTCACGAAGCGGCGGAGGCGACGTCGTCCGCGGCTTCTTCTTCCCCGGCCCCGCCGGGGCCGGGCGTGGCGGCGCGGCAGACGTACCCGGACATCATGGACATCTCCGGCATGGACTACTCGCCCTCCACGCGAAAGCCTCCCATCCACAACTGAACGCCGGGCTTGGTGGGCTACGAATCGAAGATCAGCAGCAGCACGTGAGTGGTGCACGCAGCACAAGTGCTAGCTACACAGGCCTATGTAGCTAGTGGTGCTTGAGACTGGCCTAGTAGCTTTGTTTGTTTGTTTGTTCATTAGATTAGCTGCTAGCCGTAGTAGCTAGCGAGTGCTCGATCGACCCGGTCCGCCGGTCAGTCCTGCTGATCCTGAATAGAATAGCGCGCGTACAGTCTAGTGTGACCCATCGATTCTGGACAGCATCGCAGGAAATGCTGCACCTTTTGTGACGACGATACTAGTACAAAAGCTTGCTTGGCGTTTTTCATCTCGAGTCCCCCGCGGACCGACGACGTACCGTGCTCTAGTTTTGACCGCGCTACTATGCTGTACGTACTCATCATGACCCATCGACTTGTAATGTGCTCATTACTACTACTTTGTCAGTAGCCAAAGCTTCCAATCAGACCAGGGGACGGGTTGGTGCGGCGGCCGGCCAGCGATCGACAGGGAACGATCTGCCACATGCGGCTGTGCGCGCTCGATTAATTAGGCGGCCGGGTGGTGGGTTAAGCCGTAGCGGCGTGCAGTGCCGGTGCGCGGAGCCCCCGTCCCCATACGTGCGTGCGTTGCTGGGTTAACAGTGGGGGCCGGCACGGCGCTTTCCTGTCGCGCGCCCGCCGAGCCGTGTCGCTTTCCGGGCGGGCGGCGAGGCCAGCCGGCAGGGACGTACGTGCGCGCGCGCGTCTGATGCGGTTGCGTCTGATGGCGACGCGGCAGCCCGGGCGGGACAGCCGCGCGGTGCCGTGCCGTGCCCACGGCCCACGGGGAACTCGCCGGTCGCCGCTCGTTGCTCGTGCGCACTTTGACGATCACGCACGTACGTGCTCCGGAAGCCACCATATTACGTGACGGCACGGCGTTGCTAGCCTGTCTCTGTCCGTCGACCGCCATGCTCGCGTACGCTACGCCACCGCGCAATATAGGCCGGCCCGTAGAAAAACACTGCATGCGCCACGGCACGGCACACATGCGGGCACAGAGCATGATGATGATATTGGTGGACGGGCAATGGGATGCTGCGTGACTGTTACCACTGTAACGACGACCAGAGGCTGTTAATGACGTACCACTACAGCTTTCGATAAGGATGAAACCAGGAACGGGAAGATCCCGTACCGACCGACACCGTACCAAATACCGACCGACGTAATTACGGCGTTGCGGGAAAATTATTCAGGAAAAGCGGGCGAACCGGGATCGGAATCGGGCGAGCTATTTTCCGACCGAATCGCCATTTTAACGGAAAAAATCCCGCGGTATTCCCGTGTTTGCGGCGCCGCCCGCTAGTCCACAACTTCGCCCAAGGATGAGTCGCTTCCTGTCCACTAGCCTGGCTTCATTTATAACTTACCTCCGTGCACTGCTGATTCAAAGGCGAGGTGGGACTAATGCTTGCTGAGTGCGGCAGTGCGGTGTGCAGTGTGCTGCAGTGCCTCTGTGCACTGCTGCTGCTGCTATGCATGCCTGCCTGTGTCTTGTGCATGCGTGCGATGTTTCTTTTATTCCCCATCTGTTGTTTTCCTTTGTAGATCTCCAGGAGCAGCAAGGTTTGGCCATTTGTTCATTTTTCTTTTCCATTTTCTTTTTTGGTAGTTCTATAGTTTTATTTGCATAAATATTCGGCGACTAGTTGCTATTGTTTGCATAAGGATTATGCATGGTTGCTATTGTTGCATCGAGCTCACTATTTCAAGTGGTTACATATATCGATGTTCCCGTTTTGTGTTACCGCTTTCGATCGATCGGGTTCCCGTCAAATATTCCATTCGATAAACCGTAATACCGGATCGTTTTCCCGTCCGGCCTTCCTGCGTTCCGATCTCCCGCAAAAAAATACGGGAGCGGAAATGGTTAAGACATTTTCCCGACCGTTCCCGACCGTTTTCATCCCTAGCTTTCGACGATCGGGTCTTCAGTCGATCTTCAGTTTGCTCGGCTGATCTGCTCAACAGTGGATTTTAAATGGTTTTGGATAATTAAATAGTATTCTGTGATAGAAAATAAGCTGAAACATGTACGCATGCATGCATGCATGCATGATGCGTGCTTTGGGACGCGTATCTACAGTAGTCACCAGACCAGGGGCAGTCATGCAGAGTAGTGGAAGCACCGGCCGGCCGGCCGGCCGGACGGACGGAACACGGAACGCGCGTATAAATTCAGCTCTGACGGGGGTGCCTTTGTTTAGTGCTTTACTGTAGTCTGTGCTCGCGTTTTTGTATGGCTGTACGCTGACAACCACCTGACGATGTTGATGATTGCCTGCCCGGCTGCCCGTTCTGATGGATCGGAAGCGAAGCGAGAGCGAGAGAGAGAGAGAAACAAGTCGCAGCGGCGGGCCGGGCATCGCGGAACAAGAAGGATGGATAGGTTTCCTTCAGCGCGCGCCCATCCTGCTGCTCGAGTACATACATATCCTATCTTGCTCGATTAGAGATCACAGAAGACTTGAGAACCTCCTGTTGTTTTGTTTTTTCGTTTTGAAAGTATAAAATACTCGGGACAAACTGGAAAACCAAACTGCCTCCTTGAATATACTATTACAATATTATGCTGGATTGCAGCGGGGGACGCACAGAGCGCCTCAGAGCAGGAATGGGTAGAAAAAAGTTCAGAGTTGAATGAGGCTGTTACATTTTCCAGTACTAAACCGCGTCCCAAAGGAGTGCAATTTATACTTGAACCAATTATTTTTTTTTTAAATGACTAAATTTATAGAAATTTAAGTCCTTAAATAGATTTATTACTATGGAAATATATTTTTTAAGTAATCTAATAATACTTACTCGCTCCGTCCTAAATAAGTGTACATCTCGCATCTCGAAGAGTCAAACAATCTCGAGTTTGATTTTATTCATAGAAAATAGTATATTGACATTTGTATATCTAAATAGCTTTGTTATAAAAATATATGGCGTGATTAATTTAATAAATTTTATTTGATATCATAACCTTAGTACATTTTCATATACGAAAAACTCTATATAACCCCCTCAACTATTCAGGGTGGACTACTACACCCTCAAACTATAAAACCATATTTTCTAACCCCTGATCTTTTCAAAACCGGTCAAATAACCCCCCAAGACGGTTTTGGACGGTGGTTTTGCTACAGTGACTACGGTTTTGTCTTTTTCTTTTTTATTTATTTCTACTGAATCTTTGAAAAATCATAGTAAATTACAAAAAAATCATAAAATGGAAAATCCAATTTTGTTGGACTCCAAATGAGTAGAACTACACAGTGAACATATAATATGACATGATTTAATACAAAGTTTTTGCTGTAGCTTTAGATCTATGCTTTTATATAATTAATTGGAATAATTCATAGCTGCAGCTTCTATGGTCCAATTGTGGTGAAATTTTTATGGTGATCTAATTATTGTATGCTTAAACTGTAGTAAAAATTTTATACTCATTGGATCATGTATAACTTAGTTATAGATTTACTTAGGTTTATGCTTGTTAAATCTATGCTTTATCTATAACTAAGTTATACATGATCCAATAAGTATAAAATTTTTACTATAGTCCAAACATACAATAATTAGCCCACCATAAAAATTTCACCACAATTGGACTATAGAAGCTACAGGTATAAATTATTCCAATTAATTACACAAAAGCATAGATCTAAAGCTACAGCAAAAACTGTGTACTAAAGAATACTATATTATATATTCACTGTGTATACCTACTCATATGGAGTCCAACAAAATTTGATTTTCTATTTTATAATTTTTTTGTGATTTATTATGATTTTTCAAAGATTTAACAAAAATAAATAAAAAAGAAAAAGACAAAACCACAGTCACTATAGCAAAACCACCGTTCAAAACCGCCTTGGAGGGTTATTTGACTGGTTTTGAAAAGTTCAGCGGTAGAAAAAAATGGTTTTATAGTTTGAAGGGTGAAGTAGTCTACCCTGAATAGTTGAGGGGGTTACGTAGATTTTTTTCTTTTCATATATATTTAGCTATTGAGATTGTTTGACTTTTCAAGATGCAAGATGTGTACTTATTTTGGGACGGAGGGAGTATTCGATAATATAAATGTTAATATATTTTATATTTACTTAGTTAAATATAAAATTTTGACTCTCCAGAAGCAGAGACCGAGGGAGTAGTTTGGATGGGAAGCATATTTTTTCTATTGGCCAAAGTCAAATCAAAGACAACTAGAGTATAGGCAGAGAACCAAAAATTGATTCACTGGACGGCCCGGCCTATATCTTTTTTTTGAGGTCTCGATCCATTGGGCTTGTTCATTTTTGGTCTTGGTCTTTGGTTTGGTTGGTCTTTGGTTTTGGTTTTTATGAGAAAAAACATGTTTACCAAAATGCAATGAAAACAACGAAATGAACAATCTGATTGTTGAGAACAAAAATGGGCCATACTCCCTGTGATCTAGATTGGGCCCAATGGATCGAATGACTGGGCCGAGCAAGCCTCGAGATGCAAATGCAATGCACGCGCAGCCGAATTGATCGCTGCTATTTTTGGAGGTGCCCCCGTATCGCTGAATCGTGTTTCCTGTTGCTATTTCTGGCTTGGCTGTTTTGGAGGCGCGGCAGCAGCCAGCAGGTCGGTACCCTCCGTCTCCGTCCGGCCCTCGCCACCACCGCACTCCCATCTCAGATGAGTGCGCAAGAGGAGCAGCATTCGGCAATCCGATCTCGCTCGACCAGTCGGACCCCCCTGAGAATTCCCACCCACCCCGAGGGCGTCGTCGGGTCGTCGGGGCTAGCTGATTTCACACGCCAGGGCGGCGAGACGGCCGGCATTCCGTCGTCCGATGGCGCCGGCCTCCTCCTCGTCCGCCGGCGTCGCGCGTCTCCTCCTGCTCCTGCTCCTCGCCGGCGCCTCCGTCGTGCACGGCTCGTTCCAGGCTAGGCGTGCTCTGTCAGGTGCGCCACCGTGTGCTCCGTGCTC